CTCTGCCTCTCTCTGTGTCTCTCGTGAATAGATAAAACATATTTTTTTAAGTAGGAAATAAAATGAAAAATAGCTTTTGTTTTTGTTTTTTTTTTGTCAAATTGTTTAAAGTTGCTGGACAGGATGAAAAACTCTCCTTTCCTTTCTCAGCAGGGCAAAAATCAAAATAGAAAATAAAGTCATCAGACTTTCCCTCAAAATTCCATTTGACCAAAGCAGCAAGGACAAGACTAGCACCCAGTCAGGGACCCCGGTGGGGGCTGCCTTAGGTCTGTGGCAAGGGACTCTGCACAGGAGGGCACAACACAGAACCCGCTCCTGGGGGTGTCTCTCAGACTCTGATCTGTGCAGCAGGGCTGCACTGGGAAGAAAGGCCACGTTATAGGATTCCGCAGATACGGACTGTCCAGAAAAGGCCCACCCACGGGGATAGAGAGCACTAAGCGGTTTCTGGAAACTGAGACACAGGAGAAACAGGGAGTGACTGCTAACGGATCCAGTCTCTTCGCGGGGGGCGGCGACAAAAACGTGCTGGAATCAGGCAGCCCTGATGGGCTGCACAACTTTATGAATACGCCACACATAGAACCGCACACTCTGAAAGGGCTGCATGTGAATTATAGGTCAGCAGAGAAATGGGGCAACATGGAGTGGTGTACCGTGGTGACGGGGGTTCGCCCGATGCAGGGGCCCTCCTTCTCGGAAACGGAGTGCGGCAGGGAGGACGGCGACCCTGCCAACAGCTCGACAGGAGGCGGCTGGAATCAGGCTTCAGATACCTGTACAGTCTGGCCAGAAGGTCTGCAAACAGGTAGAAGATCAAAGGCTCTGCCCTCCAAGGGAAATGACAGCACAGAAAACAGGTGTGAGCAGCAGAGGGGCAGCCTCCCGAGGCGAGAGTGGCAGCCACAACGCCGGGTCCCCACTGCCGGTCCCCGCTGGCCGCGCCCTAACCTGAAGCCAGGTAAGCCAGATCTGGCCGCCGTCTCCCGGGGCTCAGCCCTGAGACGAGCGCCGACCCAAGGCACGGCGGCCCGGACGGAGGCGGTGACCACGGCCTGGCTGGTGACACTGGGCCAGGCAGCTCGCCACAGCCCCGACCACCGCAAGACATAAGTCCTAGCATGTCACCCACTTAAAACCCAGCCGAGGCGACCCGAAAACCTGCAAACTCCCTACAACCACCCGGAATACATGCGCACCGACCCCCCCCCCCGCCGCGGCCCCCGCACGATGGCACCTGCCCCCGGGCTCCTCGCCTTGCTCGGCCCGGGCACACGCGGTCCCGCCATCCTCCAGCCGAGCTCAAGCAGGAGCTCCCAGAAATACCCGTGGGGACCCTCCCGTTGCCCGGCAGCCCAGCTCCCTGCCGATCTTCCCCACGGCTCACGGCCTCGTGGCACCCACCGCCCGCACCTCCCCGCTTACTGCCATCGCTCTGGTCCCTTCAGGGCACGGAGCGCGCGGCCACCATGGGCCACAGTGCAGCTGAAGTGCTGCCCCCCACGCCTGGAACGGGCTGGACTCGATTCCTCCTAAACAGATAAACCCAGACTTTTCAGAAGAACTAACAGCACCATTGTCAACAATTTCCCGGCAGTCACACAATTACCCTGGTTAAGCAATGAATGAACCTGATGAGACTCATGTTTAACACTGACTGCCTGAAGGCTACTCAGTGGGGGGCGGTCTGCTTCTACTGTGCACAGTCCCATGCCACCCTGGCAAAGCAGAGGTCAGGCGGGGTCCCAGGGGCAGCAGGGTGTTTCCCCATCCTTCACTCCATCAAGCGTAACACGCACCGGTTTCTGCTGCCGCTCGACATCAGGGTTCCAAGACACTGGCTGATGTTAGAATCCTTTACAAATTAAAAGATGGAGGAGACTTAGACCCCCAAAGCCCAGGCTGCACCTCAGACCAATTACACCAGAATCTCTGGAGGTGGGGCCCAGGCATTAGTATTTCTGAAGGCTCCTCAGATAACTCCAATGGGCACCCAGGGCTGAGAACCACTGTTTTAGGGAAAAGTCCAAGTACCCACAGAGAGCAATCTTCACTCCATTACTTTCTTCACTCTATATGGTCAGAGAATCGTATCTTTATTTTAAAGGTGAAAAAGTTGGGTCTATAAAAAGAAGCATATTTACTATAAATATATACACATATAATTATATGTTACTATAAATACTCCAGAGATACTCGCATCTAGAGATACTCATTATTTCCTGAATTTCTGCTGAAATCATTAATTATAATATTACATTTCAGCACTTCTCCAGCTCCTGGTATAGTGTAGTACATATATCACTTTGTCTCAGAATATTCAAATAGAAAAGTATATATATTTAGTGAATGGAGTAATTCCAAAACATGAAAAACCCACATACCTGACCCACTTAGAAATATGAACGTCTCTATCATTTCCCAGAATCCCGAGCAATAGACAGGAACATTTAGCTTCTTGGAAGTAAAAAGATGCAATACTATTCAGTTGACTATGCAGAGAATGAAAGAATGACCACAAACAAATGATTTAAAACAAAACGGGGGCAACTGGGTGGCTCAGTGGTTGAGCGTCTGCCTTTGGCTCAGGTCATGATCCTGGGGTCTGTGCCTCTCATGAATAAATAAGTAAAATCTTAAAAAAAAAAATAGGACTGAAAAAGAGATTCCTGCTAGAATTAATTCACTTCAGGTGAAGGAGAAACATACTGGAGTTCTGTCTGCGGTCACATCCACCTCTGCACACGCCTGGACTTGCATATCTCCCCAAGAAAAAGATTTTTACTGTTCTAAAGCCCACACCAATGACATCACACCAACAGAGAAGGTTATTTTTCCCACAGGATTATGTACCAAATGGTACTGATATAGAAAAAAGAGTTTTATGCTACTCAGTATTTCCAAAAATCCATATTCCCTGCTGGTTCAAAATAGTTCGAGCAGCTAGGCAATTATTAAATTGCCACCCAAGATTTGTTCAAAATGTGCTCAATAACTTCTAAAAGCCCAAACCTGAAAAATCCTTCAAACTCTTATTAAAGGAACTCTTGCAAGCAGAATACACAATCAAAATAAAAGTAAAGGAATGTACTTTAATGTTATTTTGTCTGATGGCACAGACACGTCGTGTGAGCCATTTGAATCACTGTTAACTACAAACTTTTTTTTTTTTTTTTTATTTATGATAGTCACAGAGAGAGAGAGAGAGGCAGAGACACAGGCAGAGGGAGAAGCAGGCTCCATGCACCGGAAGCCTGATGTGGGATTCGATCCCGGGTCTCCAGGATCGCGCCCTGGGCCAAAGGCAGGCGCCAAACCGCTGCGCCACCCAGGGATCCCTGACTACAAACTTTTTATACACACCGTATTATCAGTCAATAATGGAAAACCGCTATTCTTGTACCTTTTTTCAGGGACCCGAAAGCCAAACAAACCAGTTTTCCTGGTCTGCCCTTCTTTGGTACACACATGCAACTTGGATGGTGCTTCAGCGGGTAATGCCGGAAGAGGGTAAATGCTTTTCTGAGCATGAAGACAGGGGCTCCAAATTCCTAACAAGTAGCATCCTAATGTAGCCAGACTTTGTGGAGTGCTAAGTGTCTGCAGGAGACTAATACAGTAACTACTTATGTAACTTCAATTTAATTATTCAAATCGCAACTTCTAAAACATGTTTCCTCCTTTCTAGTCAGATACTAAAATTCTAGCTTGTCCTGTAATAGACACAAGATGCAATAAATGCGTCATCTGTTAGCCTCCCAGCTGAAAATTCTTTTTTCCTTTATCTTTACGGTTGAGAGAAGTTGCAGAAACCAATTCAATGAAAATAAAACCCACCAGCTTTCTTAGAGCTACAGAGTAAAACAGTTCATTTGTGGCGAAGAATTCTGATTTAAATGAATGAAAACATGAAACTGTAGAATATTTTTCAAAACAAACATTGTAGGGGCCCCTAGGTATCTCAGTGGTTGAGGGCCTGCCTTCAGCTCAGGGCCTGCCTTCAGCTCAGGTCCTGATCCCAGAGTCTGGGGATCGAGTCCTGCATCAGGCTCCCTGCTCAACTTCTCCCTCCGCCTGTGCCTCTGCCTCTCTCCATGTGCCTCTCATGAATAAATAAAATCTTTTTTTTAAGATTTTATTTATTTATTCATGAGAGAGAGAGAGAGAGAGAGGCAGAGACACAGGCAGAGAGAGAGGCAGAGGGAGAAGCAGGCCTCTTTCCGGGAGCTCTACTGGGATTTGATCCCAGGACCCTGGGGGCATGCCCTGGGCTGAAGGTGGTGCTGCTCAAGGGCGGAGCCACCCAGGCTGCCCAAATAAAATCTTCAAAAAAAAAAAAAAAGGGAGAGAACACTGTAGAGTAAAAACGTCAGGTACTAACAAATTCAAAACCTAATCTGCTAAGATTCATTTTTAAGTGTAATTACATAAATGAGAAATTTATAGAACCAAGGAGTTATATATTAGGGATACATCTTGTAAGGTTATTTTTGTTTTTATAATAGGGTAAATGTTTTCCATTTGCCTGTAGTAAGCGGCCAGTCTTTTCAAAATGAAGCAGGCAAAACTGTCCCCAGAATTAACTTTAATTCTGAATTATGGAAGTCTCATTTGATGGGGTTTACTGTTATGCACGTAAGTATAAGGTGACTTATATCGTAAGATAATCATTGAGGAGGAGGGATCAGTTCTGCGGACCCGCTGAGGCCTCCCCAGCCCTGCAGGCGGGACTCCGGGGCCCTCTGCGGCGCCCGCCTCACCCGGCACCGCCGCCCCAGACTGCGAGGCGGAAGGCCCTTGGGCTTGTCATCAGGGGAGGCTCCGAAGTGCGTGACCTCGGGCAGTGTGTGCCCTCTGGTGCGCGGCCGCTCCCCCGGGAGATGGGGGTGCGCAGGCCCTGGGGCGGGTCGGGGAGGAGAGGGGAGGGGGGGGAACGGGGAGGGGAACGGGGGTGGGGAGGGGAAAGGAGAGGGGGGAGGGTTGCAGGGGCCACTTACGAGACGTAGGCTGGGTAGCCGAACCCTATCAAGTTGCAGAGGAGAGAGGCTCCGTAACCGAACACCAGGTACAAGGCCAGCAGCCCGACGGCACCTGGGACAAGAGGGGAGAAGCGGGCCGCAGGGCCCGGGTCCTAAGCCGGGCGCCCCGCGCTCGCCGCCCCGCCGCGCTCCACCGGGAGCCTTAGAGCCCCCTCCCCTCCCCTCCCCTCCCCTCCCCTCCCCCTTCCCCTCCCCTCCCCTCCCCCTTCCCCTCCCCTTCCCCTCCCCCCTCCCCCTCCCCTCCCCCCCTCCCCTCCCCCCTCCCCTCCCCCCTCCCCCCTCCCCTCCCCTCTCCCCGCCCGCCGGGAGCGCCCGCCCCGCCCGCAGGAGGCCCCGCCGCCCGCGCCCAGCCTGCGCGCAGCCCCCGGGACTCGGCGCTCGGCCGCGGGGACCCACACGTCAGCGCCGCCGCCCCCTCCCCTCCCGCCCCCGCCAGCACGGGCGGCCCCGGGAGGCCCCGGGACACCTCCGCCCCCCCCCGCCCCGCCCCGCCCTGCACCCACCGAGCGCGATGTATCTGCGGTTCACGCCGCTCCGGGCCTCGAGCCTGGCCAGCAGGTCGGTCACGCAGTTCTTCTCCTGCAGGAACCGGTCGAACCTCTGCCTCACGGCCGCAGACATGGCGAGGCTGGCGAGGACCTGCGCTCCGCCCGGGCTGCTCCGACTGCGGGGGCCGCCGAGCGGGGCGGGGACGGGAGGGGGGCGGTCGGCGGGGGCGGGGCGGGCGGGGCGGACGCGCCGGTGGACGCAGCCCCGCCCCCCGCGCTCCGCCCCTCGCCCCGCCCCCGCCCCGCGCAGCCTTTCCCCGCGGAAGGTCAAGCGAGCGCGAGCAGCTCGGGGCGGGGGGGGGGGGGGGGGGGGGGAAGGGGCGGGCACCCGAGGCCGAGCGCGCAGCCGTGCTGGGCCCGAGGCAGCGCCGCGCGAGGCCTGCTTCTCGCGCGGCCGCACCTCGGACCAGCCTCCTCCGTGGTCTCGGGATGGCCCTGGGACAGGCTGTAGGCCCTCGGGGTGGAGGCCCCTCGGGGTGGAGGCCCTCGGGGTGGAGGCCCTCGGGGTGCAGGTCCTCGGGGTGGAGGCCCCTCGGGGTGCAGGTCCTCGGGGTGGAGGCCCCTCGGGGTGCAGGTCCTCGGGATGGAGGCCCCTCGGCGTGCAGGTCCTCGGGGTGCAGGCCCCTCGGGGTGCAGGTCCTCGGGGTGGAGGCCCCTCGGGGTGCAGGTCCTCGGGGTGCAGGTCCTCGGGGTGGAGGCCCCTCGGAGTGCAGGCCCCTCGGGGTGCAGGTCCTCGGGGTGGAGGCCCCTCGGAGTGCAGGCCCCTCGGGGTGCAGGTCCTCGGGGTGGAGGCCCCTCGGGGTGCAGGTCCTCGGGGTGGAGGCCCTTGGAGTGCAGGTCCTCGGGGTGGAGGCCCCTCGGCGTGCAGGTCCTCGGGGTGCAAGCCCCTCGGGGTACAGGTCCTCGGGGTGGAGGCCCCTCGGGGTGCAGGCCCTCGGAGTGCAGGTCCTCGGGGTGGAGGCCCCTCGGGGTGCAGGCCCTCGGAGTGCAGGTCCTCGGGGTGGAGGCCCCTCGGAGTGCAGGCCCCTCGGGGTGCAGGCCCTTGGGGTGGAGGCCCCTCGGGGTGCGGGCCCTCGGGGTGCAGGTCCTCGGGGTGGAGGCCCTCGGAGTGCAGGCCCCTCGGGGTGCAGGTCCTCGGGGTGGAGGCCCCTCGGAGTGCAGGCCCCTCGGGGTGGAGGCCCCTCGGGGTGCAGGTCCTCGGGGTGGAGGCCCCTCGGGGTGCAGGCCCTCGGAGTGCAGGTCCTCGGGGTGGAGGCCCTCGGAGTGCAGGCCCCTCGGGGTGCAGGTCCTCGGGGTGGAGGCCCCTCGGAGTGCAGGCCCCTCGGGGTGCAGGTCCTCGGGGTGGAGGCCCCTCGGGGTGCAGGTCCTCGGGGTGGAGGCCCCTCGGGGTGCAGGCCCTCGGAGTGCAGGTCCTCGGGGTGGAGGCCCCTCGGAGTGCAGGTCCTCGGGGTGGAGGCCCTCGGAGTGCAGGCCCTCGTGGTGGAGGCCCCTCGGGGTGGAGGCCCTCGGAGTGCAGGCCCCTTGGGGTGGCCTTTCCGAGGAACTTCTGCACTCCCTGAACCTTTCTGTGTGGTAGGCTATGACGATAGCAGGTACCCTGGGAACACTCCCCACCACCCTCCCCTCCCGGCCCTGTGCCCCCGCAGAGAAGCCGGTTGTCCCACCTGCCAGCAGTTACTCCAGCTGGTAAAGCCACACTCCGGGTGGGGCCGCCCTGGGCCCCCGCAGCCCGGACCCCCGCACCCCAGACCTCCGCAGCCCCGACTGGATGGATGCTCCTAGCATCTAGCAGGTAGTGGCCAGAGATGAGGGCACACATCCTCCAGTGTGCAGGACAGCCCTCCCGGGAGATGGTCCAGCCCCAAATGTCCATCGTCCGGGTGTGGGGGAGCCTCTTGTAACTGAAGAGCTCCAGGTAACCCCGTAACTGGGTCCTCTCACTTTGCAGGTCTTTGCTCAAATGGCACCTCAGCGGGACCTTCTCTGACCCTGAATTGTAACCCCCAGTGTCTCTACCCCCTGTCTGGCTTTATTTTTCTTCATAGCACTTAGTATGTCTGACAGTCCACATGTTCTACTTTTTAAAAATATATATTTTTTAAATGATGTTGTTTTATTCATTTATTGTAATTCCAGCATAGTCAGCATACAGTGTTATGTCAGCTTCAGGTATATAATGTGGTGATTCAACAGTTCTGCACATTCCTGGGTGCTCGTCAAGATAAGTGCTCTTGGGCAGCCTCCAGGGCGTGATCCTGGGGTCCTGGGGTCGAGTCCCACATCAGGCTGCTTGCAGGAAGCCTGCTCCTCCCTCTGCCTAGGTCTCTGCCTCTCTGTGTCTGTCAAGAATAAATAAATAAAATCTAAAAAAAAAAAAAAAAAAAAAAAAAGACAAGTGCTCTCCTGTATCTCAAACACCTAGAATATTGCCTGGTACTTAATAGGTTTTCAGAAACTAGTTTTTTGAATAAATGGATATGTAACACACATTGTACTACCCAGTAATCTAAGTGCTACATGTACTAATTCATTTAATTCTCATGCTAGCATGGGGCAGTTACTACCTGTTTTACACTCATATAAGGGAAGGAAATCAGATGTAGCAAGGTGTCATGACTAATAAATATCAGCTAGAATTCAGACCCAGTCTCTTACCCCTATATTATGCTGCCAGTATGGGTTGAATTGGTCCTTCCCAAAAAAGATATGTTGGAATCCTAACCCTCCATACCTCAGAATGTGACATATTGAAGAAAGGGTGTATACAAAGGCAATCAGGTTAAGAGGAGGGGATTATGATGGGCTCTGATCCAATAGTTCCTTGGTGGCTCAGTCAGTTAAGCACCTGACTCTTGATTTTGGATCAGGCCATTGATCTCAGGGTTGTGAGATCGAGCCCAGCATGAGCCTGGATGTGGAGCCTGCTTAAGATATTCTCTCTCCCTAGGGGCACCCGGGTGGTGCAGTTGGTTAAGCCTCTGACTCTTGGTTTCAGCTCAGGTCGTGATCTCAAGGTAGTGGGATCGAGCCCCACATTGGGCTCCATGCTCAATGATGCGTCTGCTTGAGTTTCTCCCTGTCCCTCTCCCTCTCCTCCTATTCTCTCTCTCTCTCAAATAAATAAATCGTTAAAAAAGTTTTTTTAAAGATTCCCTGTCTCTCCTTCTGCCCTTGTCTTCCTTGCATGTTCTTTCTCTTAAAAAAAAAAAAAAAGAGGAATTTGGACGCAGAGACAGATACACAGAGGAAGAGTGTGAGACACACAGGGAGAAGTCTGCTGTCTCTATGCCAAGGAGGGCTGGAGCAGATCCTTTTCTCACAGCCCCCAGAAGAAAGCAACTCTGTGGAAACCTTGATCTTACACTTCTGACATCCAGATCTGTGAGATGGTAATTTCTGTTATTTAAGACAATCATTTTGTGGTACTTTGTTATAGCAGCCCCAGCAAACCATCATAACTGCTTACAAAAATAGCTGAATTTGGAACTTTTAAGCCAGTTATAAGTTTGTTTAATTACCTACTAAATGAATACAATAATTATTACTTACCTGGAAGTCGGGGTCATATTTTTAAGTGCTTCAAATGATTCACAATTTGAAATTTTTAAGGTCTTTTAGCCAAGGAGCCAAATTCTTTTAAGTTATATATTCAAATCAGCCTAGATTTTTATCACTATTTCATACAGTGTTACCATTTGTACTATATCAATTATGCATGAAGTATCTGGAAGCATACTATTCATTTGTATTTCTTTTGTATAAATATTGCTCCTTCCTCAATTTTCTCCTGACTTAGATTCCAAATTTTTTCCTTCCTTCAGCACTCTACCTAGTACGAGTAAGACAAAGCAGCACAGTACGGTGTAGTTTGTGGGCCCTGTCTCTGGATCCAGCTTGGATGGGTGGCGGCCCAGCACCACCATTTAGCTGTGTGACTTTAGGGAAGTTACATAAGCTCTCTGTGCTTCCATCCTCTCATCCATAAAATAGGGATAACAATAGTACCTACTTTCACAGGGTCATCATGATGGTTAAAAAAAATCACAATTTGCAAGATTTTCAGAAGAGTGTTTAATGCAAAATCAGACTTAAGTAATTTAAGAAACAAAAAAGCACAGCTAGATACTAAAATTGAGATAGAAGAATATTACATGGTTCTTTCTTTTAAGAAATACAGTGTGGGGGGTGTGAGCCCTTTAGGTCATCCAGTCATGTCTACAAAGCGTAGACCCTTGCATGATGAGAAAGCGATGCAGAAGATGAGAACTTGGCCCTACGTCTCAGGCTATTCACTCACCTGCATCTACACGGTGTATCCTGGCAGCAGACCCGGAACCGGACAACCAGGTCATTGCCAGGAAGGCCGCGGACAAGGCTGGCCCGAAGCAGGTTGACTTCGGCAGTTTCTAGGGCGGAAGCCCAACCGACCCGGGATGATGCAAATGTTATTACTGTATTGTTCATGGGCTCCAGAAGAAAACTCTGCCGAGGATCTGTGCTCTCTCCATAACCTGTCTCTTCGGGTTAAAATTTCGGAACTGTCTGAAGTCATGATTCTGTCACATACGTCAGGAAGAAGACGTGCATACCCTCCTAGGTACTCTCTCTATTAACCCCCCAACGAACCCACGTGCCGGCGGCCCTGGCTTTTGTCGGAGCCTGGCACCAATGAGGCAGCCGCTTCCCAGTCGGGGGACCCCCAGGCCCTGCAGACACAGCCCTGGTGGCACAGCCCCTCATGCTGCCAGAGGATGGAGGGAGGTGTGATGCATAGAAGGGAGAGACAAAGTGAACAAAACCCGAGACGCTGACTTGCCAGGCAACGGGAGGGCAATGTAGCCTGGGTGCAACTTAGGTAAGAGAGTTCAAGGAAATAATACGTGAACATTACAGGGTTTCACTGAATGCATTTGAGCTATGTTTTGTTTTTTTCATTTTTCTTAATCCCTTTTTTTAAAATAAGACTTTATTTATTCATGAGAGACACACAGAAAGAGGCAGAGACATAGGCAGAGGGAGAAGCAGGCTCCCTGCAGGGAGCCGGATGTGGGACTCAACCCCAGGACCCCGGGGTCACACCTGGAGCCAAAGGCAGACGCTTAACCACTCAGCCACCCAGGTGCCCCTCTTTTGTCTTATTCTTAA